ATGCTCACCACCCCCCGCCCGCTGCAGTCGCTGCTAGGCCTTCATCCTCCTCCTCCTCATCATCCTCCTCATCCTCCTCCTTCCCCCAGTCTGCCTCGAGCGATGAGGGCGAGGAGTAGGGGGAGGACGTCGGGAGGCCAGGGAGGCCCCCGGAGGTCTCTAGAGGTCTCTGCAGACCCAGGCTTTCAGAGCTGCCCTGATACGTACGTCTTGAAGCGCAACACGTGCCGTGTGCAAAACATCCGCGTTGACACGCTGCGTGTTGCCTCAACGTCTTGGCCCACTTTCTCGGCGATCGTATCGCGCCAAGCGTACGTTTTCAGTCCACGTGTTAAGCTCCGTGACGTCACGTTGCGTGCTTGGTGCGCGCTGCGCATCGTGACGGCTAACAACCCAGACAGAGGCACCAACCCGAGAAGGACGCGACTAGGGGGCCACATGCGAACCCTACCCCCACCCCCCACGATTTCTGAGGGGGAGGGTGGGGTTCACTTCGCTCGGGAGCTCCCGAACGAAGTGAACCCCACCCTCCCCCTCAGAAATCGTGGGGGGTGGGGGTAGGGTTCGCATGTGGCCCCCTAGCGACGATGGCGGTGGCCGCGACATCGGCGGCGGCGAGCGCCGGCAGGAGTTCCTCACGTTCTCGCTGCCGGTGCCGGCCACGACGCGCTCCGAGCCCGCGGCCCCGACGCCTCAGGACCCCCCGCCCGTCAGAGGGGGGGGGGGATGGCGTGATGTCGGGCGTCTCCCCCTACAGGGGGATTTTCGACGAAAAGATAAAAAACAACACCCCAAAAATGCCCCAAAAGGGTAAAATATATAGTAAATAATTAGTCCCCAGGCTATTTGTGGACGTTTTTGGGGGATTCTTTTATTTTTCGTCGACAATCCCCCCTGTAGGGGGACAGGCCCGACTTAAGGAGAGCGAGGCCCGCCGCGGGCCCTCCTCCTCCTCCTCCTCCTCCTCCTCCTCCTTCCTCTCCCTCCTCCTCCCTCCTCCTCCTCCTCCTCCTCCTCCTCCTCACTCCCCTCACTCCCCTCCACTCTCCTCCTCCTCCCCCTCCTCCTCCTCCTCCTCCTCCTCCTCCTCCCTCCCTCCTCCTCCTCCTCCTCCTCACTCCTCCTCCTCCTCCTCCTCCTCCTCCGATGTCGCCGAGCACAGCCAAACGTCTGTGTCCTCGCGGCCCGGATTCGGCGGCGCGATGCCTTGCAGTCGGGAGCCCACGGACGTGTTCCCAGTGGGGCGTCCGTGCAACGGGGCCCCGTGGACCATGGGCTTCGCGTGTGATGAATCGGGTCCGCGAGGCCGTGGGTGCGGCCACCTTTCCCTCTCCCGGGTTTGGGGATCGAGGCGTCTGAATTCTCCCGGGCTTCGTCGGTCCTCCCTGGGCGCGCTTGCGGCCACGGCAGGATTCCCATTCGAGGTGCGGGAGTCAGAGCCCCTGGAGATGTCCAGGGGTCATCAGCGCAGAGAGGCCCAAACATTTCGCGACCTGAAGAGGAATCAGTATCTGGTTGTTCGTTCTTCTAAATTTGAGTTTGTGGAGCAGAAGCATAAAACAAGTTTCTGAAGTGTAGAATGGATCGAGGGTAAGGGTCCGAGAGCCCCCAGACCGATCGATTTGAAACAACCATGTCATCGGAGGTATTGGGAGACGAATTTCGGCTGATGCCACGTGGGCGTTATCTTCTTTGGTCGAAAGTTTCACTGCTGATGGCCTTTGCTCCAGTGGAAACGAACGCGTTTGGGGAAAGGGCATCTTGTGTGGAACACTTGCCAGCGGTATCGCTTTCTATTTGTCCTCCTCCTTCTCCGAATCCCCAAGGTTTCAAACACTTCCTCCGCGCTTCTTCGCCATCCCACTCTCTTGAGCAATGTTCGATAAACTTTAGCTCACGCGACAAGAGGAAGCACGTTCAGCGACATATCCGATATCTTGCATCCATCTCTTCTTCAACCCTACGCTGACTATCACTTCTGATTTGTGCTTCTCTCTTTATCGGATCTTGCCGTGCGACGGCGACGGCAATGGAACGAAGGCGGCACACTCGACAGCCGGGGACCCCAGTAGGTAAGGCTCTGGAGCGTGATGTCCGGTAGCGCTTGTTCAGCCTTTTGAGCGAGTTGGACGGAGCGCGCGATCTCTCTCCGCCTCGGCAGGCTGAGCATCGTTCGGTCGCAGCGCCGAGCACACCGCAGGATGCAGCACGTGGAGCGCCAGCGCAGCCACAGCAGCAGCAGGCACCTACGCTCCAGGAGTCAACGGCCCTCTTGACACAAGAAGTCCAACCACTGAGGAACGCGGTAACTGGCTTGGAGCGCCAGGTGACCGAGCTCGGTGGGACGATCGAGGCGCGGATGACAGGCTCCGAAACATTCTTGTAAGATTTGGAATCTCGCATCACGAATCTGGAGAACTCGGAGGGCTCGTGTGCAGGCTCCCGGACAGAGGCAGGGGTCTGGGGCCAGATCAAGGCTCTGGAGACGGAGGTTGCTATGCTCAGGAGTGCGGCCAACCAGAACATGAACTCCGGCGGCCCTCCGAACCAGATACATCCTACAGCTGTGTTTTGGGGGGCCTCCGTGGTGCCAATAAGCAGGACGAGTTCGACAAGTGGATTTCGCGTGTTCTGGCAGATGCAAAGGCTATTCCGCCAGTGCAGACTTACGTCAAAGGCGAATTCTCTTCGTTCCATGGGGTGGCATTCGGCAAATATTCATCTGCAGTCGAGCTGGACGCTGCAGCAGAAGCCGTCCGCAAGGCTTCGCGAGAATACGGCGGGAATAAAGTGTTGGTCAAGCCGGAGCAGCCTCTCGAGACATGGGCGTTGCAGAGCGTCCGATCTAGAATCAAGAAGATGTTGGTCGTGTGGGGTTTTGACAAGAAAAGCCTGTGGGCGGATGCCTCAACCATGAGTGCTTCGTGCGGGAGCGACCTCGTAATCAAAATGGCCGTGGACAACAAGACGCCGACTCTTGAGTATGGCCTGGATTGGGAGATTTGCTTTCTCACAAACGGCGCGATTCAGACCGTCACAAGCCTGCTCGACGCGGCGAGGGAGAAGCTGCAGCGAAGCTCTGCTCCAAGCAAGGGCCTCGGCAAAGCTAGGGGAAGCGGTCCTTGTAGGAACTACCCCTATCGGTCACGAGCCCGTCCATTCTAGAACGTTTGGGGCTGCCTCTTTGGACCTTCTGCAAACATGCAAGTATCAGTTCTCCCACGGGGCTGGCGAATGTACTTGTGGAAATTGATGTTGTGAAGTGGAGTCTTGCTTGTTTTTGCGAGACAAGGGCCGCAGAACCGGATGATCTATCTCATGAAGGCCACCGCCTAATTTCCAGAATGGGCGAAGCGCCCTATACAGGTGCCGCTGTGCTTTTGAATGCCGATCTCGCTGGCCAAGTCAGCAGGGCTCGTCTACTGTACAGTCTGGAAGAATCTTTGCCGTTAACATTGATGACCATGTGGTATATAGTTGTTGGATTTTCGCTGTTTGCGCTTCTCACCTTGGTTACGGCCACGCTTGTCTCTTCGATCTCTGCGCGGAGCTGCAGAATCTGTTGGCTGAAGCCGCGCGTTCTGGCAGCTAGGTGCTGACTGTTGGAGACTTTAACACGCAACTCCAGTTAGGCCCACGCAGTGACCTGCTTGTTGGGTTCGCTTCTGAGCACAAGCTGACCATCGCGACCGACTACGAGAAAATTCCGCGGAAAGATAATTATATATTCGAGAGAAATTTGGGGAAGCGACGGCAATTGGATTACATTCTCGTCGGCAGCACTTTCTGCTTCAGTGCGGCCGGGGCGACAAGCCAGCATGACCTTGGTTCAGATCTCCGGAGATGTGTCTCATGCATTGATATATTGGGGCCGCTTGCAAGAGACCTGCTCGAGTCGAGCAGGTCGACCGAGACGAGCAAATTGGAGAGGCTCTTCACAGTAGCAGGAAGCAGTAGGGTCGATGCTGGGTGTTTGTCCTAGCCGGACTGTTCAAGATCTATAGAAGGTGGTGGTTGATGCGGCGCGCGTGTCTGAGGCGTTGAAGTGTCCTCAGAAATGCCGCAGGCCATCGCGCTACAATGATCTTCAAGAACTACGGCGCCAACGCCAGCAGTGCTTGCACACAGCCGAGACACGCCGGGCGTCTAAGTTGACAGCCAGCGGCACCAGGAGAGCTTTCCGGGAGTGGCAGACGGAGAACATTTGCGCGCAATTTGAACAATCTTCAGATCTGAATGAAGAAGTTTCTGGTATATCGCCACGAGAACTGCAGACAGCTCTCAAATGTATGGCCGGCAAACGATGTGCTGATAAGCGTGGTGTTCTGCTGGAAATGTTTCGCCATGTTGGCCCGCTTGCCCAATCAGTCCTCCGCAACTGGAGGCCACCTGCTATCTTGAATATTGCATGCAAGGTCCTCGCTAGAATCTTGCACCGCCGCCTCGTGGCCATCCTGGAGCCCTGCCAGCCGTCGGGGCAGCTGGGACTTCGATCCGCCACTGGGACAAAACTCACTAGCCCAAAACATACCCGGACCCGGGGTCAGCTGGGGTGAAAAGGGCCGCCCGCTAGAGCGTTTTCGGCCTTGCCGCCACCTCGTCTGGGTACGGGTCGGTGCCCGAAACAACCATACATACCCGGACCTAGCTGGGGTGGTGGTTGGGTCACCCCGTCTAGGTACGGGTATGTATGGTGGTTTCGGGAGCCGACCCAGACCCAGGGGGGGTGATGCCCCGAGGGCCCCTTGCCACCCCGTCTGGGTAAGGGTACGGGTATCTTTCGCGCTCGAGAAAAACATGCAGTCTTGATATCTGAAAAACGTCATCCATGAATCAATTGAATTTGATTCGCCGGTATAGATTCCGAGCGTATGTTTGAACCAGGGTGTTGACCGTAATGAACACCCTGCCCTATTCGCTGCCATGTCAGAGCAAGGGGTCTCTTGGAGTACCGCGCGCTACTGCAGCGTTTGTGCACAGGGCGCAGCTCAACGTGGAGTCGTGGATAGCTGTCAGTTCAACATTGAACTCAGGGCCAGACAGGGTGGTGTGATTAGTCCGATGTTTGAACGCTGGGCCAGACAGGGTGGCGCGATTAGTCTTATGTTCATCAACGCTGTGAGCAGGTGGACGGCTCGGCTCGGCAATTGCGGACTCTTGCTCAGTACGCAGGGCGAGCGCTTGACTGACATTAAAAATGCAAGCGGCCTACTGCTATTTGCTCGGTCGTTGGAGGTTGCAATGTTCATGCTCGCCTGCCGCGTGGAGGAACTAAGCAGAGCCGGCTTGTCCGCCAATGCGCGGAAGACGGAGATCTTGTCAATTGATGTTAACGCTGCAGCAGACGAGGCCCCGCTTTTCCTCGACGCCGGCGGTGGGATGGTTGAGGCTATCAAGCAGGCGGGCACGCACAAAGACTTGGGTCGGCTACTGAGCGGCGATCTGAGAATGCGAGGCAAGTGGAATTTGGGGCGTCGAATGAAATGCGCTTGGTTCAAATACCACCCATTTGCGGCGACCCTTGCAGAATTTCAACATTTCGATCAAATTGCGGCTGCATCTGTTCGATTTCGTGGTGACGCCGTTTGTCCTCTACAGTCTGACCACAACGGCTCTCACTCAAAAAGACACAAGATGGACGCGCTCCAGAGGAAAATGTTGGGGCCAATTGTTGGGCGGGTTCGTTGGGAGAACGAAGCATGGCAGCTGACTGGCCATCGCGTGAAGCGCGGACTGGAGACGGCTCGAGCGAAACATCCACAAACAGGAGCATCAGGTGCAACGGTCACATATATTCGCTAGTCCAACAAATCGAGCATGGATCTATGTTGCAATGGTGTTTTTTCTCGTATGCTTGGCGACCGAGTTCGACGACCGCTTCAGAGGTGGACCGGCTGAGTCTGTGCCTGTCAGTGCAGGGTGTTTCGTGAAGTGTCCCGCGAACGCGATCTGGGAGTTGTTTTTCCCTTCTGTTCCCTCCTGCCCCCCACCGTCCCCCTTCCCCCCCCTCCCCATGCCCCCGCTCCTGCCTGCCCGAGCAGCAACCCATTTATGACAATCGCCCAGATGCCCGGGTGCCGGAGGCACGGGACAAGATTTGTTTTCCGAGTTCTAGAAAGGCACGGCCTTCGGGCCTCTCGGGAGTGGCGTATAGCGGAGCTGGGCCGGCTTTGGGAGCCCTCGGGGGCTCGGGGGGGGTGGTCCAGAGGGCGCCCGGCTTTTGGAGGGAGTGGCGACTCCTTGGTGGTGACGCCCTCATTTGGCATTGCCTGACTCTCTTTAGGAGGGAGAGAAACACAGACACAATTAATCATCGATCCCCAGGAAAAGATGGGGAAATATGGGAAGTGGGGGGGAAGACAAAAACCAAGAAAATATTGCAAAATATGGGGCATTGTTTTATTTGTGTGTATTTATTGGTGTGTTTGTGGGCCCTTTCGGTCTCCCTTTGTCGACCGCCACCCAGCGGCGTAAGGCCGACGTGAACCGAGCCGAGGTTCGCCGTCCGACGCCACGCGCGAAGAGCGCCGCGGGCACCGCGGGGCCCCGCCTTCAGCCTGCAGGGGTCTGCCGCGCGGGTCGCGCGCCAGCTGGCCCCTTGGGGGGTCTTCGAGGCAGCACGCTCAGAGCGCGGGCCTCGTCGCTCCCAAAAGCGGCCCCGCCGAGAAGGACAAGGGCCGAGAGAAGAGGCAGGAGCGAAAACGACAGCAGAACTCTGGCTCCAGGACGCCGGCGTCGCTGCTAAGAGTGCAACTTCTGGCCCGTGCTGGTTGCATGGGCAACTCCTCCTCGCTCCTCGCTTTCCCCTCCTCGCTCCTCCTCGCTCCCCGCCTTCCCGTCCATAACCCCCGCGCCCTGTTGGAATCCACTGCCCCTCTGTTATGAGGCCGTTGTATAGGAGAGGGAACAGAGGACAGAGTGTTTACACAGTTTTGAGGAATTCGTGAATTCAGTATGGGTCCGGCTTGAAGTGCCTCGAAGAAAGCGCGCGCACCCGAATCGCAGACATATGGCTATATGCGGACCCAGGACACTTTGCTTCCCGTCGTCGTCCTCGCCCTTGCTCCGTTCCCCTTCCTTTCCTCCCTCCCCCGGATGGTGTCGAAAGCGTCCGCGGCTCGGGCGGGGGAGAGCCCCTTCCCACCTCCCTCATTATTCCTCGTTCCTCTTTGCCTCCCTGCTCCACCATCCGTCGTCCTACCTCGTCCACCCTCCTTGTTCGAAAAGTGAAGTCCCTGGCGCCGCGTGCCCGCGTCAGCGGTAAATGCTTTTTCGATATCCGAGCACAGCGGCGCAACCAAACAGAGGGGATTGCCAATGCGAGATTTCGGGGCGCACCCAAAATGCGGGCGGCACGGCCGCCGAGCACAGTCGCATCGCTAACATGTAAATTATAGGTGCATGCGGCAAGGTCCGCCCCCCTGGCCAGAGCAGTGATCTATATGGCGGCGCGTGGAACTTTGACTGTTAAGAGGTCCTTGACATGTGACATCTCTCGTGTTTTCGGATTGCTGCGCGGCATTCTTTAGGGTTCTTCGAGGCCTTTTTGGGACGTTTTCGGGCCGTTGGGGGCCGCTTTGGCGCCGCGTTGCACCGCGGCCGCCCTGGGCCAGGGGAGCGTGCATTTGCGGTTCTCTCGGGGGCGCCCTGGGCCGGGGAAGTGTGTATTTGCATCCCCCCCCAGCTGGGCATGTCGACCCCGGTTCTGGGTTGGCAAAGTCGGGGCGCCCTCGAGGTGGCGAGCGTTCACCTTTTCGAAATACACAGATCAAGGTGTGATCTGTGTACACAGTTTGTGTCTTCAACTGTGTATTTTCGTGTGTGGGCCCGCTGTTTACACAGATCGTGGTGTGATCTGTGTACACAGATCTCGTTCCCATCTGTGTATTTGGAGTGTGCCCCTCGCGGGTGGTGTTGAATGGACGGGAACTTTCGCGTTTCTCTTCCGGCTGGTCCAGGGGCGGCGTCGTGCGCGGTCGAAATACACAGTTCGTGTCTCCAACTGTGCATTTGTTGCGCGCCTCCCGCTGGAGTGGTCACTGGGCGGGAGTTTCCGCGGGTCTCCTGGCTGGTCCAGGAGGGGGCCGTGGTCTGGGCATGCAAAGGCGCGGGGGGGTGGGGATGGTGGGTTGTGGGAAGGAAGGGGTTCGATAGGAGGGGTGGCCGAGGGGCCAAGGATGAACGCGACTGGACGAGAGCGGAGGAAGAGAGCCCAGGAGGATTTGCATCATCGGCGTCAGCATCACGAGGGCGAGGGAGGTGGGGGAGGGCAGAAATTGGGGGCATGATGTGCACTAGGGCGTAGAGGATGGGAGGAGGGCAGGCATGTGGACGATGGGGGAACGAATCTGGCGCAGGAGGACGACGACGAACGACGTGAATTGACACATGGGGGGGGCAGTGTAGATGAAGGGCATGATGAGGACCGGGGCAATCCGAGGGGCATGAGGAGGGTGGGGCCGCAGCGAAGGGATATTTGGAAAAGGCAGGGGATGGCATGAGTTCGAGGCGGGCGCCAGCTAACGATTACTTGAACAGTGTTTTGCGTGTCCGCGCACCCCCAGAGCACAGTGACTGGTTGCAGAACTTCATGATCTGGGTAATCGTGCGCTTCGTGCTTCCAGGCCAAAGGCTCGAGTCCGCGACGCCCGTTGGCGTCGCGATGATGCCACCCCGATCTGCCAGACCGCATATGCACAGATACGCAGAATATGTGTTGCAACGTTTGTTTCATGACCCTCTCTATATTAACAGACCCACGTTGGAACCCAAGCGCCCTGTCCTCGTTCCATCAATACCTCCTCCTTGCTCCTCGCCTTGCCCTCCGTAGCCCCCGCGCCCTGGCTCCGCCGAGAGAAGGGAAAACGCCCCGCGTCAAAGGCCCCTCCTCGCGCACGCGCTGGTTAGTGCTACTCCGCCGGCGGTGGGGCATAGACGGTCGCGAGATAAAGCACGTAATGGATGCCACCACACTCGTTGCACCCAGCGTTGCGAATGAGGCGGCCGAGAGAGAAGGATAGCATCCTTAGCTGTCCTGATACGCACCTTCTGAAAGGCGCAGCACGTGCTGCGTTCAAGCGTCAGTGTTGGCACGCTGCGTGTTGGCTCAACGTGCTGGCCCACTTGTTGGCGATCAGATCGCGCCAAACGTGCGTTGTCAGTCTTCATGTTGAGCTACGTGTCAACACGCTACGTGTTGCGTGATGCGTGCGTGTTGTGGCAGCTAAGCTAGCACCAGAACAGGGGCGCCCTCGAGGGCGCGAAATTGTTCGCGCTTCGCGGTGCGGCTCCAATTCCTCCTCGTCTTCCTCTTCTCCCCTGGGGGGCGGCGCGAGAGCGCGAACTGATCCGCGCTTCGCGCAGAGGTCAGGCGCCCGTGCCCTTGCAGAAGGGGGGAGTCCCCAGAAAACCGGTGTGCAGGACGGACTGCTCATCCCCGCCCACCAAACCACCCCAGCCCAACCCGAAGGCCCCGATTTGCCCCCCACTTCCAGTGGGGGGGGGGTCGGGGAACACTACGAACAAAAACATGAAGCTTGTACCCCCCCCCCAGCCCGAAATTCGGGGGAACGGGTTCGGTTGGGGTGGCCTGGTAGGCAGCCAGGGTGCCGTCGGACGGAGGCCCCATCCGAGACGCGGAGGAGCGCGACGGCCACCCGTGGGGGGGCGCGAGAGGTGCAGCGAGGCGGCGAGCGTGCAGCGCAAGCGGCGGGTGCGCCGGGGCGCAGGGGAGGCGCACGATGGAGGAAGACACAGATGCGAGCAGGGGATCGACTGCAGAAGTCATATACCCCAGACTTGATTTTCTCGTAGGGCTATGTGTAGACTGCTCGCAGATCGACGAGCATTCGACGCGTGTCTCATGGGTTCGGCGGACCAAGCGATGCTGGGGCAAGTCAAGTATGGAGTCGATGCCCGACTCGACGGATCACATGCACCAGTTGTTGTTCTTGTCCGCAGGCGAGGTGGCACCTCTGCGGGGCGCATCAACACGATTTGCACCCAGCGGTGCGGCTGACATCGCCGCAAGGAGAGCGGCACCGGAAGGGGGGGGAACTCGAAGTGGCCCGCGTGCAAGACGGGTTGTTGATGCAGAGGCCGCGTGGAAGAGCGAGGTGGTGAACGTGCAGCCGAAGGTGTGACCGCGTGGAGGTGCGAGGAGGTGGTGACCGCGTGGAAGTTGCGAGGAGGCGGTGACCGCGTCGACCATTTTTTTTCGGGATGTGAGTCGTGGCGAGGTGGTGAGCGTGCAGCCCAAGCGGCCGATGCGTTTGGGCAGGTGTACGCACAGTGCCGTTTTCAATACATGCTCCGCGTGCGGAGCATGTATTAAAAATGCAGGGATGTAGTATAAAAAACAACGATGGGTCCATGCATAAATTTATTCACAAATGAATCATTAACAAAAATCCGATATGTTAAAACATCCTATGTATTAAAAACTGCCCTGTAGTCGGGTCCCCAGTGGGAGGGCCGACCAGCGGAGACCTGCAAGAGAGGCAGCCAGAAGCACCGCGGGGCGCTGTGCGCCGGCGGCAAGACAAAGACGGGCGGGCGTCGCCAACTCAGTCTCGACCAGAGGGCGATTGAGGAGGGCGGGGAGGCGAGCCCTCCAGGAGGGCGAGGAGGAGGAGGAGGAGGGGGAGGAGGGGGAGGAGCAGGAGGGGGAGGAGGAGGGGAAGTGGGAGGAGGGCGAGGAGGGCGATTGAGGAGGGCGGGAAGGTGAGCCCTGGAGGGGCGCATCAGTGGAGGCCAGGCACGCGCGCACGCGCTTTGGGCGTCGCGGTCAAGCGCGCAGCAACACGGCGGAGATATGTGTGCGGCAGCGGAGAGCGCACGCGCGCGCACACACACACACATCTCCTTCTGCGTCCCGAGAATAGTCAGGGTGGAGGTCCTTCACCACGATGGCCTCCTTGGGGACCGCCTCCCGGTCCAGGGCCGCCAACGGAGCAACCCAGGATGAGCCGAAGGCCGGCAATGGGCAGAGGGTTCCGGATTCATGGGTTTCGCCTTCTTGGATCATTGTCTGTGTAGCGGGGCGCTGGGGAGTGCGGCGGCCTTCGCGTCGCCACCTTCCACTACCCCCTGTTGACAAGTTCCTTCGGCGGCGCGACTGATGATTGGTTCGTTTGTGCTGCGTGCCAGCGAAGGCAGCGGGAGGCGCCGTTCGACATGCTGTGTGCCCTCTTTGTGTGCCGGCGACGTCGCTGGGCGGGTTCAGTGCTGGCTGCCTAGGGCCTTGGCATCCTTACGCGTTATTTACAGTTCCTTATGCGTTATTTGTTATTTATCGTTCCTTATGCGTTATTCCGTGGGATAAAAAATGGACTTCGTTCCTGATTTATCGTTCCTTAGGTCAGGCCGATGACTGTACAGTGTTGGCTGCCTAGGGCTGCGCGTACATGTTCACCAGGCGACGTCCGATGTCTGCCTCCCGCGCTCCTCGTGCCGGGGCCCGTCGGCGCCGGTTGACGGGCGCCGGTGAGGGCACGAGGCCCCTGCCTCTCATTTTGCGCCTGACCAGTCGACGGGAGGCGGGGGAGGAGGAGGAGGAGGAGGAGGAGGAGGAGGAGGAGGAGGAGGAGGAGGAGGAGGTGGAGGAGGATGAGGAGGAGGAGGAGGAGGCGCGGCCCAGCCAGCCTGCCAGGTGACTGATGCAGACAGATGCAGCGTTCTCGAGCCGAGTCCGTCACCGTCCCTACTCCTCCTCCGCGCTCGAGGAGGAGGAGGAGGAGGAGGAGGAGGAGGAGGAGGTCCTGAGCAGGCGCTCGTCTGCAGGAAGTTCCTGGGGCCTACCTGACGGAGCTGTTCGACGCCAGGTGGGACTTGGTTCGGTTCGGCTCTGGCGCGACGCAAGCTCGACTCAGGTTCGACGCACGTTCGACGGGCGTTCGGCGCAGCATCGGCGCGTGAGTGGCGCGAGTGGCTCCAGGAAGGTTCTCCGAGCAACCAGCCAGCCTTCCTCCTCTTCCATCGGCGACGACCTCCAGAGGCCTCCGGAGTTCCGGGGAGGTCCCTTGCGAGGCACATGGGGGCGCCCTCGGTGGCCGCCGGGGGCTCAGGAGGGACCATGAGGCGCCAAACAGACATCGATGCGACGGGGGCAGGGGGGGCAGACGCCGCCTGGGGATGGCCGAGCTCCTGCCAGGCTGTGCCCTCGAGCCTCGATGGTGGAGGGCACGGCTCGGCAGGCCAAGGTCTGCGCATGACGGAGGCAGCGGCCACGCCAGCGAAGAAGTTGACCTCGGCGGCTCTGAGACCCACATGGTACCATTGCATCTCTCCGCTCCGCTTTGGGTTTCGTCGTCGACGATACCGTGGGCAATTTCTTCCGAAGAGCCCCTAGGGGGCGAAACGCGTGCCTTTTCTTGCACGCGTGAGACTCAGTCCAAGACAGGGGCTGCTCTCGCGCCACTCAGGGGAGGCCAAACGTACCCCACAAAAGAGGTACCCTGGAGAGGCGGCCTCAGGGACACCTCACTGGGGGTGCGTCCTACTGCCAGCACGTTTGCTCCGTCCCAACCAACCCCTCGCGAGGTGGTCAGCACGGCGCAGCTGGTCGACGCCCACCAGCGCTCGGGCTCGCCCTCCGTGCGCGCGCTCGCTGGAGGGGCGGCGGGCCGCGTCGAGTTCGGCCCTCGTCAGGGGCAACACTGCGGGGGGACGGGGACGCCTCCTCCCCCGATCGCCCACTGGTCACCGATTCGGGGGGTCAGGCTCGACGTTCGAGGTTCGAGGCTGCCGGGCTTTTCTCCATCGGTTCTCGGCGGTCTTCCAGCCCAGAGATGCCTTTGTGCGGCTGCGCCTCGCCGCGAGCGTTCCGATTGTGCCCGGGTCGTCTCGGACGGCCGCCGGAGGCCCGAGTCATGAGCCGAAAGCCATCGATTTGGGGGGGGGTAGGCTTATGTCGGGCCTGTCCCCCTACAGGGGGATTTTCGACGAAAAATAGAACATACCCCAAAAATAATAAAAAACAGTTCAAAAATAGTCTGGGGACTATTTTTGGAGTATTGTATGACCTTTTTGGTGCATTTTTAGGGTATTTTTGAATCTTCGTCGAACATCCCCCTGTAGGGGGACACGCCCGACTGAAGGGCTGGCTCGGGCGAGGGCGCGGCCGACCGGGGGCCGAGAGCGGCATCGCGAGGACGGCAGGGGGGCCGACGGGGGCCGACGGGACCCTCGGGCGAGGGCGGCATCGCCCACTCGTCGCCGACAGGAGGCCGAGAGCGCACCCCTGCCCAGGAGCCACGCGGCTTGGCTATCGGGGGCCTATGCCTCCGATGCATCGCCGATTTCAGGCCCGGGATCCTTGCATTTGCACCAGCAGCCGGCCAATCAATTGAGAGAGGTTTGAGTATGAGCATATCTGTCAGGACCGGAAAGACGGTGAACTGCGCCTGAGCACGGTAAAGCCAGGGGAAACTCTGACGGAGGCTTCTATTGCGATACCAACGTGCAGATTGTTCGTCATGCCTGGGCATCGGGGGCGAAAGACGGGTCGAGCAGTCTAGCAGCCGATTCCCTCCGAAGTTTCCCCCCCGGATGGCTGGAGCCAGCCCGCTCCCACCCCCTTGGCCCCTCGCCTCGAGGGCCGAGGATCAAGCCGGAAACCGCTACAGAGGACTCCTTCGGGGGGCTGACGCCATCCATGCCGCCGACCCCCAGAAGAGTCCACGGTTGAGGCGTCGTGGGTTTCCTGGGCACGATCTGGGGGCTCGCGTGGGAACCTTTGGGTTCTGTTTGGGGGCCTGGTTGGGCCGGCCTCTCGGAGGAAATTGTGAAGCGTCGTGGGGGCTGTTATTGGGGTCCCTTTGGGGCCTCTTGGGGGGCCTAGTGGGGCTTATCGGGAGCCTTTTTGGGGCTGCGTGGGGGCACAGGGAGCTCCACCGACAAGGACTCACAACTGCGGTACTCAAAACTGAATATGGTTGGGTCTTCAGCCAGGGGAATTGATAGGGCTGGGCTCATGATTCAACCAGGTCTGATCGGCGGGCCGACTCTGCATAAAGCAGGGGTGCTTGCAGGGTACCCCCTGTGCTCCGCTTCTTGTGCTTCATTCCGCAGGCCCTCCTCGTGAGAAATTACGAGAAATGAGAGATTACGATACGACATCGACCTCCTCTTGCTGCGGCATGTCTCAAGCCAGATCGATCTGAGAGGGGCCCCGGGGCCCGCAACCGGGCGCAAACGCCCGGTGACAAAAACAGGACGACACGTAGCTGGCTCCAGGGCCTCACGTTTGGCGTTATGTAGCGCCCTGAAGGCTGGCACTCGCCAGCTCCGAGGAGATCCCCGGCTTTCCAGAAGAAGCAGCAACATCGAGGAGGAGGAGGAGGAGGAGGAGGAGGAGGAGGAGGATCGAGGGCCGAGGAGGAGGAGGAGGAGGAGGAGGAGGAGAGCAGGAGGAGGAGGAGGAGGGAGGAGGAGGAGGAGGAGGGTTGGAGCAGCAGCAGGATCGAGGGCCGGGGCGTCTCGAGGGTCGTGGATCGCGGCGTCTTTCGGGGGCGCTCCCGTGTCTGCATAGGGGGCGCTTAGGGAGCCCTCCCGGGGGGAGGGAGGCCGGAGGGTGGGCCGAGGACGGAGGGGGCTCTCTGTGTCGGGGGTGGACAGACCTCCTACCCTGACGCGTCGATTAGCGAGTTGGCCGTTTTCGGTTCGCGAGAGGGCGTCGCCGCCGTCATTTTTGCGGGTCCAGGTCCGTCGATTTCGGTCCCAGGCCGTTTTCACTAAGGGGAGGTTTACTAAAGGGAGGTTTGTCCACCGCCGATTGTGGCGTTTCTTCTTGGGAGCGGCGAAGAGCGTCGATGACACGCCGCTCCTGTGCTGCTTCTCCGTTTTTTTTTGGGCCGAAGGCCTACAGTGTGTCTGTACCCAGGAGGGAAGAAGGAGGCAAACGCCTGGAATGAACAAAAGCGCCCAGATCTGAGGGTGACATGATGATGGAGTTGATTGGTACTGCTTCTCTAATCGGGCAGATGGTACTCAATAGTGGTCAGGGAAGCGGCCCCGCTGGGGGCCCACAGGTGAATTCAACGAGCGAGCCAGCCAATTCATCTGCAACCTCTGGGGCGAGATATGACAGTCGGGTCGATGGCAAGCTCTGAGCCGGCTTGCCTCCAACCCCTGTGCACGGGCAACTGTTGTCGCATGTCCAGACTGTGTGTAGGAGATCCAGACTTGCTCCAGCACGTCATGAATAGCAGAAAGCTTGATTCCAGGAAATGTCTGTCGCTCTGGCGGCCCACCTTCTCAGGGCAATGCAGTGCTGAGTGTTTTTTTTTAGGTCGGTTCGCAATTGAGCAAGATTCTGAGTGCACACACACACACACAAATACATATACATATACATTTATACATATATATACATGTATATATAAATACATATGCGAAAATGCTTCGTGTCAGCACTAGGCGCAGGGAGGTGGGGCTTGTCCCCGAATGTCGGCCCACTGGCTGTACTTGGAATTGTGCTTCACATTCCTGCCTCTCTCTCTCTCTTTCTGTTTTGTCCGAGTGAGGGGGCCGAACGGTCATTCACTGTCCCTGGG